AAAGTAAGTACCTCTTCTACTGGTCATTATTTTTGGGATAGGGGGTTAAAATATTGCCAGCCTCCTCCTCATCATTAACTTTGAGCCATCACTGGGCCTAAAAAGCATTGTTGTTGGGTTACACGTGTGTCCCAACAGATAGTGTTGTTGAGTTACATGTGTGTCTGCCAATAGACGCTAATGTTAGGTTACATGAGTCCCAACAGGCATTATTGTTAAGTTACATGCGTGTCTGCCAATAGACGCTAATGTTAGGTTACATGAGTCCCAACAGGCATTATTGTTAAGTTACATGTGTTCCAACAGCCATTGTTGTTAGGTTACACGTATTCCAAGAGTTATTTAGGGAAGCATTTTATATACAAATTCTGAGGTGAAAGTAACGCTAGAACGTCCTATAATCAAAGTTTGTATTCAGAATGGTGGGTCAGCGGTAAATTTACGGACTTACAACGATTCCCCAAAGTGCACAGAGCACGAATAGCTCATCGTGTGGTTTTGTGCTGAAACAAACAAACAAACACCAATTCTGAGAAAAAGAAAATATATTATTGGTTCATACCAAACCATATTTAAAAACATTTAGTCACGGGTTGTCAAAATGAAATAAAAAAAGAGCATTTAAGTGGTACCCTCTATTATGACTTATTAATGCCTCATACAAACATGGGTCCAATCAGTACTGCTGAGACCTACATAGCTCCCTAGTGGCACAGCGGTATGTCTGCGGACTTAGAACCCTATAAACTGGGTTTTGATATCCGTGGTGGGCAGAGCACAGATAGCCCATTGTGTAGCTTTGTGCTTAACTTCAAACAAACAGAGACATACATAACTCAACACTATTGAAAGAATTAAAACCCTCGCATCAGTTTAACTCAAATAATACGAGTACAAGTAAGACCGTGACACGTGTTGTTAAATGATTTGCCGAAACTTTTAAGTTTGTTTCTACAAACACCAAACAGGAAAAGGAAGGGAAAAAAAGGTTGTCGATGGAACTTCTTTGCATTTTCCCAGAACTGCTGCTCAGTTTTTAACAAACTTATTATTAGTTATTCATCAGAATATCTCTAGTAACTCATGTTACTACTAATTTTACCCCAGTTTGTTTCCTCTGCTGTTATATTTTAACCCATAACTGGTTAAGAGCAATGGCGAACCTACACAGCTTACCTTCTTAGTAAATAGCATACTTCTAAGATTTAACTGTTTTTAGTTTTCATAGGGTGAAATATGAAATGTATTCCACTGTATGCACATCTTCTGTCAAGAATGCGTTAAAAGTGCACCTGAAGTTACCTCAGCAACCTCAGCTCTTCATCGGGATTTCTTAGATTAATTAGGGACTACTTTTCAACCACACAATAAAAACGTGTTAGTAGAGCTATGGACTTCGGAGCTGACAAGCCAGATTCGAATTCTCGTGACACCACAAAATATTTCCCACACTTTAAGCTGTGTGTGTGCGTTAAAAGAGTGAAAGTCAATCCCTTAGCGTGGATGGTGGGCGGTAGGTTGCTGCTGACTGACTATTTTCCTTCTGGTCACTAGTTCGAAACTTGGGAATGCAAAGGATAGCCGTAGTAGTTTTTCCATAAAAAACAAAATACAAAAGATGTTCAACACTACATTTCTCCCTCTGCTGTACGTGGTCGATGTGTCTAACGAAATTGTTAAAATTTGCACACTTTTCATCAAACAAAGAGTTTTCAATGTCAGGATTTTTGTCATATCACAGATATTTAATGCATCAAAGTAGCCATATTGATCGTATTATGTTACCAAAGTATCGAAGTCTGATAAGTATATTATTTCATTTTCACATCTATTAATTCTACTTTTGGGTGTTTACTCACTTCGTGAGACGGTTTGTTCCATAGGTCGAGCGTGACCTGATAGTAAGGTGTCAGGTTATAGACCGAAGGGTTTTAAGTTCGAGACATGATGCCGTTAACGTTCTACGTTTACAGCTGCACGTGCATTATTATTATTCGGTTTAAAGAGCCGGACAAAGTCCTTGTGGCAGCGCTGCGGTGCCGCTGATTGACTGTCTCTCCTCTGTCTCTCAAAATTCGGGACGGTTATAGCTTAACCACAGGTCCTATAAGCATAGCAATCAGCCACCTACTGCTAGACTTACTTAATCACATGATTTGTGTGATGTATTCACTATGTATTATTGTTAAATACATACTAAATATAATACACAATGATCAAGCTCTGGAATATATGGGACTATTTGTGTAATGTAAGACTGTCTACATTCCAAGTGAAGCAAAGTTTGTGCCAGTGCAAATGTTCAACGTTGAACATAAATGGACATAGCCTTGATAGGGGTAATGTGATTATAATAGTAACTTTACATAAATACAGACACCCCCATTTATGTGGTGGTTAGCATTTAACAATACTTTTAATTTATTTAACGGTGCCAACTTAAACGGATCTCAACATCAGTGTCGGTGGGAGGAAGACGTCTACATAGCACCTGACCCTCCCAGATACCGATCAAGATCAAGCAACCACAGGGATCTCTGACCAGACTGTTTAGTTCACGTGCGCATAAATTGCATGCAGTTCAGGTTGAAAATTTTATTTAGAATTATTTGGTTTTCCATGCCGATTGATTGTACAAGTAACTGTTTGGTCCTGAGCTTTAGAATACTACTATTAAATTAGAATGCTAAGTATATCATTTGAAATCCAGGATAAGGACTAATCATGATATTTTACCGTTAAATTTCCATTGCCTAGTCGGTTTACTGAGTTTATGAAACATGTGTCACAAAAATCTTAGATGTTTATATTTTATTTTTTCTACCAAAAATTACTAATTATTTAATCTCTAGGTTCTGAAAACTTTGCCCATTTTTTACAACAATAAGATTCTCCTTTTACGTTCGAATTTTTCGTTTTTAATTATAGAATTATAAAATTTTTCGTTTTTAATTTGCTAGGAATCAAAGAAAAAGGGTGTCTTTTAACATTTTCTATATTTTTTTATCCTATGTGTTAGTAAAACTGTACTCGACCTACATAATCATTGACATTATCACATTTTCATCAACACTTTTCTTAATCTTCTAACTGAATGTAGTTCTGATACATTCCGTTTCACTGCGATCTTATATAGGTTGTGGTTATCTTGTGACCTGCTGATTTGCATATTCAAAATCGTTTTGATGTAACGTATTAAACTCAATAGAAGAAAACATAACGCGATGTGTGCGTCATTCGGCTTTTAATAACATGTCTTAACTCCAACTCAGCCCCCCAGTGGCACAGCGGTATGTCGATACCCGTGGTGGGCAGAGCACAGATAGCCCATTGTGTAGCTTTGTGCATACATTCAAACAAACAAAACTCCAACTCAGTATTTACGTTATTAAATCTCCAGGAATGGTTCAGTCCAGCAAGTATCTTTATCCGTGAATCTTTGAATTTTACATTGTAATTATTTGGAATTATTTAATGATTTTTTTTCATATAAAACTTAATGAGTGAACATGAAATTGTCAGTTACATCGATTATTCGGAAGCGTGCCTGACATGCCGTATTTAATTTTCAAATTATAAATCAGAAATGACACTTAAAAATTAATACTGATGAGCTAAAATTTAATTTCTGTAGCACCCTGCTTCGCACGAGCATAACAAAAATTCTAAGCTACAGTAATAGAGTACAGTGTGATCCATGTGTTATCCAATAACAATACTTCATAAGTGCAATTATCTCCCGAGTAGAGGTGTTACAATGGATTATTTTCGTTAGTTCAGTCACTCGCGTACGAGATCAGTCTCTGTGTAACATACTTATGAGACCCACCCTCCTCCGATTTTCTCATATTGTTGTTGCGTTTCTAGAAGTTAATTATATAATAAAAGTATTCTTGAAAGTTCGTGTGTTTGTTTAAACACCACCAAGACGTTTAATAGATAACTAAGTTAATTCGATAATAAATGTTGCGTACGCTATAAAGGTCATATTTATAAAGAGTATATGTACGCATGCGTAAAACGCATGTGGTTTATAATTACTTAATTTCATGAATAATATTTCCTTTTACTACTTGCATGAAGAATATAATAACCTTGTTAATTTCTTGGTCGAGTGCAACAATGGGCCAATAGAAGTTGATTACTACACTCAACAACAGTCTTCCTCAACACAGAAGTTACAAACTTAAGCCGTTTCTTTGTGGAGATACTCGGGTTTTAATACCGTCGTCAGTGGAAGAACGATAAACTTTGAAAATGCTTTATTATAATCGAATTAACCCTTACTCTATGTAACGCCTAAGATAGACACATATAGCTAGGGTAACATTGGACAAGGAAGTCCTTCATTAAGAAAATAATATATATATATATACACACACACATGTATAATGTGTTAATAGACACACATAGAAGAAAAAACATCCACGTTAATTTATAGTTAAATATTGCTCAGTTTAATATTCTACTTGGCTGACTAACAAAATCGTAGTTTTAAAATTACATATTTCGTCTGTGATCCTGTGTTCCATGATGGAAATCCGGGGTGCAATTCCCCGCGGTACCCAGGACACAAATAGCTCATCTTGTACTATTGCGCTGGCAAACAACAAGAGTAGTTATACTCTGTGATACACACTAATAAGACTTTATGAAATATCTAAAAGTTATTTGCTATTCAATAACTTTTGTGCTTATAATAATTGTTTCAGTGATATTTAAAAGTTGATCAAAAAGTTCAGTATTCAACTCGGTTTGTTCGTTGGTCTGTTTGTTCCTCGTGGCGTTTGTTTTCTTATTTTATTAAAAAACAAAACTTGTCTTGAATATTATTATGGTCAGGTTATAAGTCACGTGTTTACAATTGGCGTATGATATTTTATAAGTTACACCTAAAACGTACATCGTTTAATCATAGCGTCTTTGTATATTTTTATGTACTATTTGTATGAAGAAGTGGTATAAAAATTTGATTTTAATGAAAAACGTTCACTTCACAGAGACTCCGGCATGAACGTCATAAACGTCGACAAAGCCTTTTCTCCTCCCAAAATATTGCCGTAGGACTCGATAATGTATCGGCTGATGATTCTGGATCGTGGGGTCCATGGAGTGATAGTAGTAAATGCTCCCGGAGTTGCGGAGGCGGAGTCGCCTTTCAGTCCAGAAATTGCACAAATGCGAGGTAACTTAACCTTAATCTGTCACATAGTAATGAGAATAATTGTTTATGATTTAGACATAGGAAAGAGATAATTCATGTATAAAAGTAAATTTAATAGTGGTATTTCAATTTTAAGGCGTGGTTACAATGATTATAGCTGACCAATGAAGCACACGCCTACTTAATCGAAACTTTAAGTTCGTTATGGGTAAAGATATGTGTGTTACATTCATACGAGGAGGGTATAGCGCATATAGCCCTTTGTGTAGCTATGCGCTAAAAACAACAACGACCAGACAAACATACTTTGCTAGAGAATAATTTCAAGAACTTTTACATGTTTGTGCTTTCTTTAGGTTTCCATGACACAAAATGTTTTAATATATTTGGTTATATTTAATTAATACTCTTACTGAAAAAATAATGGCAGCTTTGTTAAGTTAACTGAACTGCTATTATAAATTATACATAGATTCTGAAAATAGGTGCAAACCACCTGTTAACTATAGAAACCGCCCCCCCCCCCCCCCCCTCGCGCACGACGTCTACGTACGCGTCCTACGTCGTCGACACGACGCGACTACGTCGTCGTACGACCGTA